AAAAACTCACATAAAAAAATACTTTAAATATTTATAAAATTTATATTTTTAAATAAAAAAATAACAAAAATATATATTTTCTTATATATTTCTTTTTTTTTTTTCTTATATATTTCATTGCTCTGTACGAGGCTGTATATCATGGGTCCTTAACTACCTTCTCTCTGTAAACCGCACTGAGATAATGATGCATTTATTACTTGCACGTCAGTAGCCGCCATCCTCTACGCACCTCCATGTCAGCAGATTCAAGCACTATTTAAACTGATTTGTGATCATATCAAATTCTTCAACATTATGAAGGATTGAAATACACAATAAAAATTTAATCTTTTTCTTTTTCAGGTAATTTAGTTTGTGTTTGTCCTATTTTTGAATTTTTTGTCAAATGAATTTTTAAGGCAAGATTTGGGTTAGATTTAGATCTGAAAAAACATTAGGTGTGATGTGGCTCTGGATTCGTTGCTGTGAAGCTTTCATTACTGGCTACCTTTCGTGTTTTTGAAGGCTTCATTTAATTGCTCACTGTTTGGTTGTTTTTAGTTTTGTTAGATCACAATTCAGTTCTATATATTAAGCTGTAATCTCTTGGTTTGATATATTGGGTATCAAGAATTGGGAATTTTGAGTTGGGTTTGTAATGTCTATGTAAAGGTGGTGAATTTCTTGATTATATGGGTGTTTTGCTTGAAAAAATGAGTGGGTTTGTGGTTTTTGTTTGCAGGATTTGAAGCAAAATGGCTCAGGAAGTCTCCAATGGGAATCATAACTCCTCTACAAAGCCCCCTCCAACCCCATCTCCTCTAAGGTTTTCCAAGTTTTTCCAGGTAGGATGTTTTGTTTGTAGATATGCCAAAGAGGAAAAAGTCCCATTTTTCTCAGTTCATGCCTTCTTGTAAAATTTGGGTGTCCAAAGCTGTTTGTTTTGATGGCAGTCCAACTTGAGAATTCTGGTTACTGGTGGAGCTGGATTCATTGGCTCCCATCTAGTGGATAAGTTGATGGAGAATGAAAAGAATGAGGTGAGCACTTCCTGTCAATATTTCTGATATAAAGAAGGCTTAAAACCGAAAAGTTTCTGCATTTAGTTTTATGTATTTACGACTACTCCTTTCCTGGCACTCAGGTTATCGTGGTGGATAACTACTTCACTGGCTCCAAGGACAATCTCAAGAAATGGATTGGTCATCCAAGATTTGAGCTTATCCGTCATGGTCTGTCATCTTTTAGTTTTCACTTTTCATTTGTTTAGTAGTAATGCACATAAGGGAATGATTCTGATATTTATTCACAAAGCTAACATTTTCTGTCCTTTTTTCTTGCAGATGTAACGGAGCCACTGCTAGTTGAGGTTGATCAGATATACCATCTGGCTTGTCCTGCTTCACCAATCTTTTACAAATACAATCCTGTCAAGGTAAGAGTCATTGGCAGCCTAAGTCTGTCCGAGAAATTTCAAGTTTGTTGCTTTTCTCAGAAAACTGAATTTCCTTGTGCTCAACAGACAATAAAGACAAATGTGATCGGTACATTGAATATGTTGGGACTTGCAAAACGAGTTGGAGCAAGGTTTGAGACTGTCCTTTGTTTCCCTTTGATTTAGTACTTACAAAAACCTCTTGCATTACTTATGTATGAATGCCATGGAACAGAATTTTGCTCACGTCCACCTCTGAAGTATATGGAGATCCACTTGAGCATCCCCAGACTGAGAATTACTGGGGAAATGTTAACCCCATTGGTAAGCTTATATCTCCTAAGATGGCTGGGTAGAAGTTTTGCATTAGGGTGGAATGGATATGAAAAACTGTCATTTATGCAGAATACTATCACAGCAACTTGCAACACATTATGGTTCTCACTATGTTGTTTGTGTATATTATTGCAGGAGTTAGGAGTTGCTATGATGAAGGGAAGAGAGTAGCTGAAACTCTGATGTTTGATTATCACCGGCAGCATGGCATAGGTAGAAAGATGCAACATGTTGTGCTGGTTTTCTGTATGTTTTCCTTTCTCAGTTTGTGAATTATTGTTCTTTTTCTTAAATAATGATTTAAAAACAGAGATAAGGATTGCAAGAATTTTCAACACCTACGGACCCCGCATGAACATTGATGATGGTCGTGTAGTCAGCAATTTCATTGCTCAAGCAATCCGGTAACTGTTAAGAGATTACCTGTTTTTTTAGGCGTTCCAACCATTTTCCTGTTCTTCTCTTTCCTCCACCTTTAATGTCTGCATCATCATCATCATCATCTTTGCTGTTTACTTTGCAGTGGTGAGTCATTGACTGTTCAGTTACCTGGAACACAAACAAGAAGTTTCTGTTATGTTTCTGATATGGTATTGTACAACATTCTCTTCTTTAACATTGCAAGATGTGCATTAGAATTATTACAACTCAGCTTTTTTATCGTTGAAGGTTGATGGCCTCATTCGACTTATGGAAGGAGAGCACACTGGGCCAATCAATATTGGAAATCCAGGTCAATATAGAAGCTCTCAGTCTTGATTCCCTACCTTTGAAGATGCTTCTGCCGTTTTCATCACTAAAATATATATTTATTTTCTTTTTACTTCAGGTGAATTTACAATGCTTGAACTTGCAGAGGCCGTTAAGGAGGTCAGTGTTTGATTCATTGTTGTTGTCCCAGCTTTATTGTTCTCTCTGTTTCTGCTAAAGAATTGAATGACCTGAACCATGTGGGGTCTTTTTGGATGATAAGTCATTTCCGGACATTGTTCATAGATTAATAACAAAAGCAATTCTAAATGTTAGTGACCACTGACATGCATGACGGCGTATTGCAGCTCATCAATCCCGAGGTTGAAATTGCAAAGGTGGAAAATACTCCTGATGATCCTCGCCAGAGGAAACCAGACATATCGAGAGCAAAGGAACTGCTAGGATGGGAGCCAAAGATCAAACTGCGTGACGGCCTTCCCCTTATGGAAGAGGATTTCCGCCAGAGGCTTGGCATTCCCAGGAAGAATTAAATGCTTTAGTACCATCTTCAACTACAAGGCTATAGTCGGACTTATGTTCTGTGAGGACAGGGGCTTCAGAGAAGTTCATGTAGTTCCTAATGCATCTTGTCAACTGCATAATTCATATGGTTTTTCATTTTATGATTTTCTTATGTTACTGCATATGCAAAAGAGCTTTCCCATCGCAATGTCAGAAGAAATTATTTGTGAAAATGGAAATGAATTCCAGAAAGCTACAGCCAAAACTAAGTACTTTCTATTCTGATATAACATGGCATTCCACGATCTCAAAAAAGGATAGGCTTAGGCTGGGAGAATAATGCAATTTATTAAACTGGATTTCTAGGCTCAATTAGTAACTGCTCAAGGGAAAAAAGGGAAAAACTTTATGTATGAACTTGAACTTTTAAGATGGTCTTTCTAGACTTGTGCAACTCCTTGAACTTGTTGCACTTTCTCTTTCTTTTTCAGAGTCTCCTTAACTGCAAGATTCTCAACTTCTGTTCCTGTTTGCTCAATCCTTGCAAAGACTGGTTTAGGTTGAGCCATAACCTGACCGGCCTTCAGGCCACCCCACTTGGTTTCCTTCTGCAAAAAGCATCCAATTACGTTAACAAAATACTTGAAAATTTTCTTCAGGTCTAGATGCGCATTCACTGTGTGAGAATGAGAGTAACTGACCCAGGTGACATTCTTGAACTCATCCTCAGAGTAGCCAAGCTGTGCATATATCCTCCGAGATAAGTTAGGTGTGACTGGGGATAAAGCAACTGCTATGATCCTCACTGCTTCCAATATAATCACTAGATCCTGGCCCAACACCAAAAAGACATAAGCATCCTAAACAAATCAAGGTGCTGGACATGAAATAACATCGATACCTCTGCTTAGTCTATTGTTTGCTGGTGAAACTTATATCCCCAATAGAGAGGAAACAACAAGAGTGCTCAGAATACAGCCCTGGATTACCCATGTCATTATAAGGCTTATTCAGAGCTGAACTTTCCTGCCTTTTCTTTTTCAGATATGGAATTCTATATATAGTTGGTCATGGCAAATCACGTGAAAGACTTAAAAAGAAGAAACAGAAGTTAAAGAGAAGAACCTTTGCAGCAGCTTCAGAAGCAGCACCTCCTTGCTTAAAAAGAGACCATGGTGCTCGCTCATCCATGTATGAATTTCCAGCATTCCCAACCTCTAGTACAGCTTCACAAGCTGATGATAGTGCAAGGTTTTCATACTGGATCCGAGCCTTTTCAACCTATAAAAACATAAGAAAGAAGCTGAGTCAACTGATAAAATGTCATAAGCAGTTGAATACCCTTATGAATGAGAATATAAATTATTGGCATAAAAAAGTTCTTATATTGTGCAACTTGTTGCTCTTCGATTAAATTCATGCAAATCCTACCAGCTTCTCAACAGTCTCCTTGAAAGTATTTCCTTCTGCCGCAACAATTGCATCAGCCACCAAAGTGGATTCACAGTTCTTTTTAAGAAGCCCAAGAGTTCGGTTAAGAAGATTTCCTGCAGAGTTGGTAGTAAGACGAGGTCATCTATATTCATCTTGGTTTAAAAAAAAAAAAACCAATGCAAACAGCCCAAAAGATCTGCTTAAATCCAAAAGCTGAAGAGCACCTATTGTGTTAGCAAGATGTGCGTTGACAACATTAATGAATCGATCTTCTGAATAGTCCCCATCATTTCCAAATTCCACTTCCCTCAGGAAGAAGTACCTGATGGCATCAGGCCCAAATTTACTAACCAATTCTTTTGGTTCAATTGTATTCCCTAGAGACTTCCCCATCTTCATACCATCCTATAATTTTCAAAATAAAAGGCATTGCTGCATGAAATAAAATTAGTACATAAGAAAAAAATTTAATAGATTTGCTAGCTTATCCAATTATTCTTATATCCATCTGATTGCCAATCAAATGCAATGTTAATTAACAAAGACAATTAAACCAAAACAAAAGTCCAGTCTGGACAATTGCATTGTGTTAACAAGCATGCCTTGGATCCATGATCCATTCTTCATTCAAATGATAACGCCAGAGCTTAAAAGGTAGCAAGGTAGAAGCCCAAATTTTTGTAAAGGGACTCTCTGAGCAAAATGCTCTGACATGAAGTTAACACATTAATTGATTATATAGACTTCAAAGAGGCCTTGGTCTAGTGGTAGTAAAGGAATGAGCTAGTTTCAAGGACATCTTAGGTTCAAACTTCAAATCCTTTTCGGCATGGCATAAATGATTAAGTTGTTACAAATGAAGAAAAAAAGGGCCCAAGAGACTACCCCTTGGGATTTTATTTAATTACCTTTGTCAAGAATCCATGACCAAAGACCACCTTAGGAAGACTCAATCCAGCAGACATTAACATGGCTGGCCAGTAAACTGCATGAAAACGTAAAATATCCTACAGAAGAATAAGAAAGCAGAGAAGTATCACAGACTCTGAACAGTTATGGAAAAGGGAGTAAAGTTCATCACAGATTAAACAAAGACAAATAATGGGCAACAAAATAACATTTCAAAAAAATGTTTTCATGAACTTACAAAAATAGCCTTAATGAATCTCTTTCCTATGTTATTTCATTAATGACATTTTAGTAGTTTCAGTAAAGTGCAGCCCAATCTGAAAAACATGAATCTCATAACATTTTTCACATCTGGCAACTACTTCCACCACTGTAGAGAAGTAGGAAATAAAGTAGACTATATTCAATACCTTTCCAATCAAGTGTAGTGACACAGGCCAACCTGAAGAAACAGCACTCTGTAAATTATGACCCTCTTTGTCTGACAGAGCTGATATATAGCTGTTTTTGGAAAATTTTACCCATTAAAAACTTAAGCAACAAAAGTAATTTTACAATGCAACAGTAAAGAAATGACTAACATAAATGAAACAAGGGCTCTAGTTATCATATCATCTTCCATTTTTAAGAGCTGTTAAAATATCAACCAAAGCTTTATGTCAATTGCATTTCTGCAACAAAAAAGAGAAATTAAAGCCTCCTAAATCCTAACCATATAGAAATAAAGATTAATCAGGTTACAACATAAAATAGTTTCAACTTATATGAAACAAGAACTTTACCCTAGCAAAGCATCAAACCATACATAAATAGTTTGCTTGATGTCATTGGGAACTGGAATACCCCATTCCACTGATGCTCGGGAAATGGAGAAATCTTTTAGGCCATTTTTTATCCAGCTTTGCACCTAGAAAAATGGTTATAGCAAAAATGAGTTTACTCAAGAAAGTGACCTCAAAAGAAAGAGTTTCACAGCTTGAATGCATAAGGCAAATACAGTCAAAAAGAAAACAGAACATATTGCTCACCTCATTAAGACGAAATGAAGGCTGAACAAAATGTGGATTTTCTGATAAAGTTTCTTCAAGTCTCTTTTGGTGCTTTGACAGTGCAAAGAAGTAATTATCCTCTTTCCTTGGAACACATGGCTTTAGGTGCACAGGGCAACAGTTGTTTTCAAGCAGCTCTTTCTCATCCTAGAGAATATAGAAAAGCTAATGATGTTACTCCATTTACAATCAAAATCACAAGCTCTTTCTTCATTAAAATGCACAAGTGCAAACAGTAGTACATGGCATGTGCACAAATCCCATACCAATCACATAGAAAAGAATGCAAAACAAGAAACCTCACGTTATCAATATCAAAATCTATTTTCTCCAAGCAAAATTATCCAATAAGATTGCCTTTTCTTTAATCAAAATAATCATCAGATTAAATTAAATCAGAACATCTGAATGCAACAGATGCAATAAGTAGATGGTAATGCAAGGTACAACCTTATACTCCTCACAGTTGACACAGTAAAGTCCCTCATAGTCAGCCTGGTAAATGTCACCGTTTGCAAGAACCCTAGAATAAAATTCTTTGACAATTGTCTCATGTTTAGGATCAGTCGTGCGGATGAACTTGTCATAAGCAATATCTAACTGCAAACAGAAAAAAGAGGCAGACATAAGAACACACAATAGCTTTGCTGCTCAGACCTAGGATAAACTCCGATGAAGGAAAATAGAGCAAAATTACATCTTTCCAAAGTGTCTTGTAAGACTGAGCTATGACATCACAATGCTCACTTGGGCTGGAACCATTAGCAGCTGCAGCTGTAGCTATTTTCTCCCCATGCTCATCTGTGCCCGTAATAAATATAACCTTTTTCCCCAGTAGCCTCTGTCAGAAAATATATAAGAAGCAATTAGAATAGACCCTCAAAAATCCACAGTCCAGTCCTGACCAAGCTTATAACTTTTCTCATCTACATTTGCCAGCAGGAAGAAAATTCACTCATTTGCAGTTACATAGACGAGAGAAGAAATGCAGCTAAAGTCTCCACATTTCTGAAAGAGTGAATTTTTCTTCAACTAAAGTACTTAGCTTATTCACTGTCCTACTATCAAACTTGTAAACTATAATCAACTTAATTTAACAAGGAAACACAAATAAGATACAGCAGGTAAGCAAATAATCAATCACAATCATCAATTCCCAATTCGACAAAGCACCAAAAGTAAACAATAAAAAATCATAAAGTCGATGCAAAAACACTATAAAAAAACCCCTTAAATCTGAGATAGCGTTTAACAGTACCTGAAAACGAGCAATGGCATCAGCAGCAATAGTGGTATAGGCACTTCCCATATGGGGAGGAGCATTCACGTAATAAAGAGGAGTCGTAAGGACAAAAGGCTCCCCAATTTCTCCACTTTGCAGACCATTATTACTGCCACCGTTGTTGCTTGAGCAACTGCAAAACGTAGCTCTTTTTGAAGAAGAAGAAGATGAAGAAAGCACGAGGCTTTGAGGGAAAAAGACGCGATTCTTGAGAAGGGTAGTTCTAGAATTGAAGGAACATAGTGGGTTTAAAAGCCACAAACTGTTTTGTATCGAGCAATTCAAAGTTATCCTCGCCGCTGCCATTTTCCCAACTGAAATAGCTTAAAAAAAAATATGCAGCTGACTCCACTAATTCATTCTCTGCTTCTTCTGACTTCGTTTTTCACTGAATCAGTAATTCTCCGTTTCCCTGAATCAATGAATCAGTAGGCAAGGGAGGAAGAAGAAGAAAAGGAGGTCTCCGCCGTTTTGGTGCCACTCTATCGACAGTGTGAGGAACGAAATGCCGATGTCTTTAGAAAAAGAACAGTCCAATTATATGTTGCCACGTATTTTTCTTAAAAACAAATTATTAACCCCCATTTTCAAGGGTTTGTTTGGTATCTGGGTTAATACTTTCCTTGTCTTGTCCCGAGTTAAGGAGATCTTACTCCAGTACTCCGTTCCAAAATTTTCAACGCGGCACCGAAATTTCTCAAAGCCCGCCACGACGCCACGATCCGGACTGTACTTTCATCAAGAAATCATGACCGTCGATCATTCCCTTATCAACGTCTCAAATTCGTCAAAATTCTTCCACACGGATTGCGCCTTCAAACCCGCGATTTCGGATTTCCCTCCTGCTCAAATTCAAATCTCTGAATTCCTCTCCTATAAATACACACCGTCTCAAAGGAATTCAAGACATCAATTCTTCATTCTCAAAATCAAAGCTCTAATCTTCAGATTTCAAGTTTCTGATTACGATGTCTGGCCGTGGAAAGGGAGGCAAGGGGTTGGGAAAGGGAGGTGCGAAGCGGCACCGCAAGGTTCTCCGAGATAACATCCAGGGGATCACGAAGCCAGCGATCAGGCGTTTGGCGAGAAGGGGAGGGGTCAAGAGAATCAGCGGCTTGATCTATGAGGAGACCAGAGGAGTGTTGAAGGTTTTCTTGGAGAATGTCATCCGTGATGCCGTGACTTATACGGAGCACGCCAGGAGGAAGACGGTCACCGCCATGGATGTTGTGTATGCGCTCAAGAGGCAGGGTAGAACGCTCTATGGTTTCGGTGGTTGATTGTTTAGGTCAATAGAATGTTGATATGTTGACTTCCATTTAAAATTTCCCTCGAATATGGTTGAGATGTTGAAGTCAATGGAAATTTTCTCTGCTATTTTGAATGTGATTGGGGAATATATTCATGAATGTGATTGAGTTTAGAATCATTATTGCAGCTGCTTATTTTTTTTTCTTGAAAAAAAATTGTCAACATTCTCTTTAATTTGGAGTTTAAAAAGCTCAATTAAATTAAGTATGTGGTGATATTTTTTGAGTTGTAAATTTGATTATAGAAGAAAAGAAATGAAAATAGAATATTTTGTTATTTTAAAACTTAATTAAATTAAATATTTTTAATAAAATTTTTTTGTATGTATCAATTTATTAATAATATTTTAAATTATTATTTTTTTTTTTAATATTTTAATGGTTGGGATGTTTTGGTTTTTTTACTGTTTATAAAGCCCATCAACTTTTTAAATGTAACCTTTTTTGTCTCATTATCACCAATGGGTCTATAGCTCAGTGGTAGAGCATTTGACTGCAGATCAAGAGGTCACCGGTTCGAACCCGGTTGGGCCCTTTTACTAGAGACGTGTATTTTTTTATTTTTTGGTTTCCCGCTCGATATTGAGTATTGAGATTTTGTTTCGATTAATTTGAACTCGACCTGCGTTGCGCACTTGAAAAGAGATGTGTATTTTTTTAATTTTTTTGAACGGGTTACAATTCAAGATAAAAAGATTCAAATTTCAATTTTTAGATTAAGAGAGTACATTTTACAAGCCAACTTATACCCATTGGGCCATAAGACTTGGGTGCAAGATGTGCATTTTTTTTTTAATTAGATATATGATTTTCTTCAGAAATTAATATTTACTTCCGGTTTTTGATCACCATAGACGCTAAGATAAAGAAACAAGAAGAAAAAAGCCAAGCGTTGCCATCTTATAAAATCATGCAACAAGTGCCAATTCAAGAAATTACAATAAGAGTTCTAAGTCTATCTATGCTTGCAGAACCGCTATCTCTCTCCATGAAAATGTCACCTTCGATAAGAGCATGGATACCTAGGCGATGTTAGTACCTGTATAAATAAAAATACAGACGTTAAACTGGAGTCTCTAGAGCATTTGATGGGGCGAAATCAGTGGTATAAAACCAATAATGTTGTAAGCTTGAACTTGAAGTTAAATACCTTTTCAAGGAGAAATGAATACTCTAGGGCGCCATGAAAAAGCTTCTGAAGTTGGAACTTCACATTTTACTTTCTCTAGGTAACGCTGTAGAGTATGAGCATGCTCGTTTATGCTATCAGTAGACATTGTATCTTCAGCTAGTTTAACTGCTGCCATTTGAGATAATTGAAAGTTCTCTGCCGTATGGTGCAGCTTCCGTGCAGTTTTGTCCTCACCAAGCATCACAAGGGAAACCAACAGAGACTTGAGCTCGCATTTTGCCCCTGCTGTTAGGGACATGCCTTTCAAATGCTCTACCAGAGCCATTTCCTCACCAGGGCTGCGGAGTAAAGTAAAAATTCCATGTGTAAGATTGAAACTATAAGATAACTTAGGGCAAAGAAGATGAAACTTGGATAACTAAATACCTGCCGGGACGAATTTTTCCTCTGTTTTTCTGGCGTTGTCTCTGTCTAGTTTTGCTAGCTAGAGTTGAGCTGGTAGAAGCAGCTGAGCTCTTCCTTGTCCTGTTCATGGATGACAGAGCAGTAAAATCACATTCAGAGCAGAAATATAGTGGTCGTTGCAATTTACAAAATTTCAGCATTTTTTTTTTAACAAAGCAATCCCTTCAATGCAATCATGATGAATAAGATCAATTGTAATTTTTCTAAACACCAAAATGCAAGGTCATGCCCTTGGGTGATAGTGGTGCATTCAAAGTTCAAATTCAAAAGGAACATAAGCACTAGTGAATTGATTTTTATTTCAAAATTCAAACCATGCAGAATTTGTCACTATAATACCCTCCTGCCATAAGTATATAGAAATAGAAGCACAGACTTTGGTGAAGCAGGAGAAATATAGAAGTTAAGCACATAGAAAAATGCATTAAAGGCATACCCTGTAGTGTAGGCACTCATTCCACTGAATGTACTACTGGCTTCTGAAACTGTATCATCATCAAGGTCATTCATTGATTGTGCCTCTGACTGAAGCTTTGCTGCAAGCAGCAATCTCCTTTGTCGAACAGCTAGGTAACGCGCCAAATACTTCCCCACTTTCTCCAAGCCTTCCTTGTATTCATCTACAAGACTGCTTGCACATTCCAAAGATGCATTTTTCACTTCTGAGATTAAATCTTCTCTCCTGTGCATAAATGCAACCCTCAAAGCCTCATCCCAGTCCCTTGAACAAATTAGCAAACTCATCCCAGCATTAACGTCTCTACAATACTCCAAAGCAATTTTGGCAGCTTCTCCTGGTTTACCAAGGGCCTGGAGCTCTTCACAAAGTTCATGAGCTAGCTCCACTACTTCATTATTTTCCACCTTAAGAAGTCCAGCAACCGTCAGCACCCCCCTCCAATTACCACATGCACGATATGCCTTCAAAGCCTTTTCCAAACTAGAACAACACAAGTATGTTGCAGCAGCATCCTCATAGCATTTGTCATCTATAAGTTGATCTCCCCAAGCTTCAAGGACTTGCCCTCTCTTTGCTGGATCAGTAATCAACTGAAGACCCAAAGGAAAAAGTTCAGGATTTTTCTTCATGAGGTTCATGCTATCTACAAAATGGGCATCTCCCGCAGAAACAATGTGTTTGAGAGCTTTCTCAAATCTGCGCAACTTAAGGTCAATATTGTAGCACATTAAGCTCACTGGCATTTGTTCTAAGTCTTGGAGAAATGGAAGAAACTCCTTGGGGTCACGTTGAGAATTCAATGCCACAATAGCTGCAAGGTTTAAATCGTAAAGGCCCAAAGCAGATTCAAAAACAGCTTCAGAATCTGATAACCACAAGAGATGTTTTAATGCTTCCTCAGAAGAAGGATAAGTAATTTTCCTTGGATCATCAGAACCCAATAATTCCATATCACGGATAACTTTTATCCTCTCCAAAGCTTCTTCAAGAGCTGGGGGGTTGCTACGAGCCAGGGTAGTCAAAATGCAAAGTTCCCTTGCAGGACTTTCTGGTAATTGTTCCTCAAGAGCCCTCTTTATGGCCAGAAGGACCGAGCAAACCTTGTTGTCAACATCAGAATTAGAACCCGAACCACTAAAATCCTTGGCTTCCACACCTCCATCCTGCCCATGGAAAGGCAAGAGGAGCTTTTTGTATAATGTCTCTGTAACATTTTCATTTTTTATGGCACAGACAAACTCAGTTATGTAGCTCAAGTTGTTGACCTGCCTGACAAACTCCGAAGCTGATTGAACAAATGATTGCAAACCACAGTAATCAACCATAACATTAAAATCTATCCTATGTCTTCTCACCATAAGAAATGCATCCCTGAAGCGCCTCTGGACCAGAGCATTAATAATGGAAGATAGAACCAATTTTCTTGGGTAAATACATTCTATATTTCCTCGAGTTGTTTGTAATATCACGCCATCTTCATCTCCATGCAGGACACCAACAACTTTTGCCCCTCTTTCCCAAATGTTTATGAAGTTCAGTTTCTCTTCCTCTTTTCTTTTATTACCAGTGTGGATGAAGTTCTCATATGTCAAGTCTAATTCTCCATGCAATATGTCACTAATGTCAACAACAAAGAGTAAGTCCTGCCTAGTTGCAAGAATTAAATGTGTAATTACTTGGTTGGCTAAGTTTGAGTAAAATGAGAAACTGCTACAGTTGTTGCAAAGTACTCTCCCACTAACATGCAGCCTACCCATATCATCAAGTCCAAAAAGCAAAGGCTTGGATGGATTACCAACAAGGACCACATTCATCCAAGGGCAAGATGAGGAGAAACGTACATCATCATCTTTCAAATCGCATCTGGTTATTCCTAATTTTGGTGCATACTCATAGACTTTTCCACCATCAAGCTGGATAAATGCCGAGGAGTTTTTAGCAGGATTGGGTGCAATTCCAATTACCAGTCCATCCAACAAACTTCGATTCAGAACCTTTGCTTGCCAGCCAGAGCATGTCACTAAACCTGGCACATGATCCTCAGAACAAACAAGCTCAATCTCCTGCATATACAACCCATAAAGCCCATCCTTGCTTGATGAAGTCTTTGACGAGCAATTGCTGTGACTGAACCCATAATGAGAAACAGCAAGGAGTATATGTGAGTCCAACCATGTGAAATGTACAAAGGATCCAAATTCTGTTTCAGAAACAGAAGCTTCCACACTAAATTCTTTGCCATCTAGTTCTTCCCATGTATCTTGTGCAGGAAGCTCTACAACACTCAAACAACCATCTGATAAAAAAGCAGCCAAAAGGTTTTTGGAATTCTTGGAATACAAACTCATATCCCGGATAGCACTTGGAAAATTAAGGCTGAATGAATACAAAGGTGGTGGCATTAGTGTCACAGCAAGGGGGGTAACAAGTATCTTGGAATCATCAATAACTAAAGCTGTTGACCTTTCAGTGACAGCTGTCACCCAGATGAATTTGTAAATCGTTATCTGTCCACCTAAGGTCCAACAGATCAACTGCTGTGACTTTGTTGGATCCCACATGAACCTCACACCATCAGATCTTGAGTATCTAATTTCATGTTTTAGATACCAATGGTTGTTGCTAAAATACCAGATTTTAATGTAGTCATATTGTTCAGATCTAACAACAGCTGCAAGAAGATCTGAACTACAATTCCACTTCAGAAGCTCAACAGTTGCACCTACAGGTTCATTGATGTTGAACAAGCTTCTCTCCAACCCATTCCTCTCAAAGAAGACAATTGAGGGACCCTTATTCTCTAGTTTCCTGTCATAAACAGCTGCAATTTTTGCTCCACTGGGCATCCATTCCAGCGCTGCTCCCATGAATGGCTTTGATTCCGAGGAAGCATGCAATACCCCCGAATCCCGTTCCCAAACCTTAAGCCTCTTATGCATGGAAGCAGGATGCAAGACCTCATTCAGGGTTGAAAAGTACTTCCCATCGCCCCTCCAAGAAATGGGACTTCCAAACGTATCTCTTGAGAAATCTCGTTCATCTGAAACCAGAAACCCATCAATGAATTATCCAAATATCATAGTAAGTCAAATTACCATAAACAACTAAAATCTAATATTTCCTAAACATATTTGCATGCCACTAGCCAGACAGCATTTCAAGCTTACTAAATGTAAGCAACACACACACACACATATGTAGATACATATATACAGGTTGAGAGAGAGTAATGGAGAAGAGTCCTTACTTACGTCAGGAAGATCCTCCATAGCAGTCTCATACAACAATTCCCAATCATGAGTCATCACCAGTAGTTGCCCAAAACCAGTAGTCACGCCAATCAGATCTCCATCTGGACTTGGTGAGATGCACTTGACACCACCCTCTACTCGACCAACTTCTTCTGTTCCATTTCCATCAACAGAATGAAGCAACAAAATTCCACTAGCAGTTCCCACTATCAGTGCTTCTTTCTCCAAAAGATAATCAAAGGCAGTAATGAAATCCCCACCCTCCAAATCAATGGGATCAACTTCAGCTTGTAACGGACCCTTTGTTTGAACCTTTCCATTCTAACAAACCCATGAAATGCTGTCAGAAAACAAATACACACACACACACAATGCAACACGGGTATGACACAAACTAAATAATATTACCCACACCCCCCCCAAAAAAAAAAAAAGGTTCTTAAACCAATTTAAAACTATCATTAATTTATTTCTCAATGATTTCCATAAGCCCATTTAGCAATGTTCACAAAAGCTACGATTTTGATATGCACCCATCAACCATCCAATAGAATACTTTAAACATAGAAACAACAGAGACTGCTAATAGACCACGGAAACAACTATTCAGGTAAACATGAAAGTAAGAAGAAAAGACGGGAGAAAGGTGCGTACTTGGAATGAAGAAAGATGAGTTGTGTATATGAGATTAGCTGAGGAAGCGAAGAAGAAGCGGCTTCCCTCGATATCATAGGCAGAAAACAGAATCACCTCTTCCTCTGACTGCAACACAAGATTGGAAGTGACCTCTGAATACAATTTCAGGTTATTCATTGTTGGGAATTAATAGAAATCAGGCTGCAAAACTGAAACCAAATCTACTTGGGTTTTTTTGAAGTTTTTACGACTTCAAGTGCTTCCGGCGAGGAATCTGTTTAGCTTTGAGCTCAGATGGGAGGGAGTTAGGGGGGCTAACCTAGTTACAGAAATCTCTTATATGTTTGACTTGTTTACCCCTTGACAACTCCTTAAAAAAAGTTTTAACTAGGGCTGGGCATTTTTTAACCAAACCGATTGTTTACCCGAAAACCGAACCGAAAAAATGAATTCGGTTCGGTTTCAAAGGTTTTTGGTTTTATTTTTTCGGTTTTGATATTAACCAAATATATTTCGATTGACCAAAAACCAAAAATAAAACCGAAATTA